TGACGCAAATCGTCACAATTGGCTTTGGTTTTACTTCTGATTGGATGAAAAGGTGGCGCGAATCTTTTAAGCCAATCGCATCGTGTAGAAAGTGCAAAACCAATTACTTTTCGACACTCAAATGAAAACCGCTCTATGCGATATTTAAAAGGTAGTGTTTAGATAGCAGCAAACTAGATATCCGATATTTAAACGGTAGTGTTTAGATAGCAAAAAACTAGTTATCCGATATTTAAAAGGTAGTGTCTAGATAGCAAAAAACTAGAAATCCAATATTTAAAACTAGTGTTTGGATAGCCATTAAAAGGTAGTGTTTAGATATCCAATATTTAAAAGGTAGTGTTTGGATAGCAAAAAAGTAGAATTATGATATCTGATATTTAAAAGGAAGTGTTTCGATAGCAAAAGAACTACATATCCGATATTTAAAAGGAAGTGTTTCAACAGCAAAACATTAATAGATATATATGATAACTAAAAGGTAGTGTTTGTTGGATAGTAATAAAATATAGATGTCGGACTATTATAAACGAGTGTTTGGATAGCAAAAAAATGTCTTCTAGTAGCTAAAACGTAGTGTTTGAAGGATAGAGTAATATACATAATAGAAAGAAAATGACCGCACCAAGTTATAGAGGGGGCGTCCAAAGTCCCCCCTTGTTCGGAAGAAGCAAAAAATATCCATACTCCCCCCCAGGCCGGGGCGCAGACGAATTTTAGATAAGAATCACGAGGCTTGGTTAGTTTTGCTCTAAAACCATTTTGAGAGCCTTTGGGTGAAAAAAACAGTTACAAACACTTGACGTCTGGGAGGGAACTGTTCGTCTACCCTAAAGGCTACACATGACTGGATGGGGTTAACCTTCTTCGTGTGATTGTAATTGCGCTTATTAAGTACAAGAACAAGCAACGAAAAAACTGTCACCTTGTCAGCAGCGTGAAAATCTTATGCTTCTGCGCCTGCGGAAATCACGTTATGCTTACCTTCAGTCATTCCGGACTGCAGGGCCTAGTTGTTCGAGGTAAGTTAGCTGTAAACAGAACACATAGGTTGCCATGGTAACTAGCCCTGAATTAGCGCTAATCGTCCTTCGAACAACTCTGCCCAGAGCTCTTTTTTATTGCGCATGACCTCTGGTCATGCTCATCCCGGCTCGTTCCCAGTTGTCTTTATAATGCGCAGGGTATGGAAGTGCTAGATGGAGGAGCGAGAGGTTATGGGAATAAGGAAGAGAGAAGACGCCCCCTCAACTTTCTCCTCAGTTTCGCACGCTTTATGTCGAAGTCTGGCAACGAGTGAGATGCACAGCCGTAACTCCTAAGGGTCTGTTGACGAGAACTGCCTAAGTTCAAACCGAGTGGGGCTAAGAACGAGTTAACCCACAAAGTCAGAAAGAGAAAATCGAAATGTACAAAATCCTGGATGGAGGGATGTCATCATTACTGAAAAAATGTCAACTGCTTTGCATAACATTCTCTTTTACTCGGCGTAAACCATTTACCTGGATATTTTGATATTTGTTATAAATTTCGTTATGCAATCGTTAATTCAAGTACCATTACTTCAAGCACGCATTGCGTACCTATTAACTACCGATCACTGGATGAAGAATGAATAAAGCTTTGTCTAATCTATCTCGGGTTTGGTGAGAACGGTTAGACCTCGAGCATACTAATAAGACGAGAAATCACTGTTACGCATAATTCATTACCTAGTTTCAAAGCTAGCAGGACTGGATACGAGTCCGTTAATTATGGGATAAACACAACGAGACACACATAGTAAGAGAGATCACATTGGGGTTCGGGAAAACTCTCAAGTTTGGTGTTTATCGGGCCTATATTGAACGAAGATACAGGCATTCAAAGCTCGATGTGATCTGACTGCCCTGGATCTGACTATGTGGTCATCGCGTTGTTCATCCCAAAATACAAGGACTCGTACCCAGCTCTCCTCGGTTTGAAAGTACGCAATGATTCGCAAGTGAAGGAGGCTGAACAGACAAAATCGTACGATTAGTGGGGGTGTTATGGTCTAAACTGTCTAGAAAAACCAGTAATTCCCGCCGGATATCGATTAGCACAGTTCATCAGCCGCAACATCCAAAGAGAGTAATATATTAACAACAATTGTAGACAATAACGAAATTTATTTGAAACTGTTACAATTCGCGGCTATTGAAATGCAAAATAGGGGAAAATTAACACTAGTAACTTATGTTTCTGACGCATTTCCTTTGTAAAAAAATTACAAGATATCCTTAGGCTAGGAGTTAATTTCACCACAAACGTCTTTATGCTCAGTGTTCAAGGCTTTAATATGACAATCTGTAACAACATGCCCCACAGGGCTAACAACAATAAAGAAAGCTGCTCATTTGAGATGCTTATACATGTTTCCTTCCAAATGTTCGAATTGCATTGTCTTAATTGTTTTTATGTGTACGTCCTCAGTGTTTTTTTTGTTTTTTTTTTTTCACAATAGAACTCTTATCCCAGTAAATGCTACGAACTGAATTCAAAGCTTTTGAGGAGATATTTTCTGCTTTTACTACTTTACGCAATCTTTTGCATTGACTCGACCAAAGGCTATGAGCTACTAAGTATAAGAGATTAACAGTGTAAGAGATTAACGTGTGATGTTTTCGCAAGCTATATCAATAGAATTTTAAACTACGCAAAATCTCTTCAAACTTTAGCTAACTTTGACACGAGGTATACAATTACTTAATGCAAGAACAAATTCCCTCTACAACGAAGAGTGTTAAGTTAAAAAAAAAGACCTTTTAAAGCCGTAATCGCCAACATTTAAGTAGTAGCTTTAGGATGCATCAAAGATAACATTTTTTTGTGGGCGGCCCACATTTGAATTCCTATTGCAAAATTAGGGCCTTCGAGGGCCACTCAGTAGAAAATATGACTATAAATATTAAACGAAAAACAAGTTTTGTTTCCTGCCGTGTTGTTTAAATGAGATTACTAATCGAAAGCGCGTGCTTGTATTAATTGGAACACAAGAAAATGCATTAAACGTTTTCAATTGCTTACTTAGTTGTAAGACTGAGATCAAACTCAAACTACTTTTATAAGACTGAATTATAAAACTTCTCCTAAACATAATAATAGAATAATTCCCTTAGAAAATAGTGGTAACTCGATTGGTTTGCATTGTTAGTTCAGAAATTCAAGACATCGCAAATTTAAATTATGAACTCAAGATAAATTGCCTTGGATGAAAACTCCGTTGCGATGACCAAGTTTGTTACGAACTCAATTCAAGGTGATGGGCCTTACGCAGCCAACAGATAGCGCGTTTATCGGAGATTTTAGAATCTTGAAACAGAACTTGAAAAATGACAGAATGCTAGACATGTGGATCGAACCTGCAGTTGATTAATAACTTTATTTATTATCGTCAATGGCGAGTACAATTTCTTTGAGTGAAGAATAAAGCAGATCTTCAATTGTTCCCGTTCAGTTTAGAAATAAGTAAAAAATTTTCAGTACTGGAATTTTAAAAAATCTCTTAGAGAGCTAACATATCACCCGAGATGAGCACTGCAAATCTATCATTTCCCCGGCAGTATAGTCCCAGCAGAAAAACAATTAATTTGAAACCGCCTCTGTTATTGTTTTGTGAGGAAAGTTTGTTTTATTGTTTCAATTTTGGTACCAGTTGTGCTTGCCTTGTGGCAAGAAAATTTCATCGCTTCAACTCTTCCTAAAAGGTCTTTTTGTTATTTCATAATAGAAAGCAATTATCGTGTCGCTTAAACTAAATTACTTCCAGAGGATAGAAACTCTCCCCGCCTATATGCTCTCAAATATTAATTACATCCTGCCAAAAAAGCTATCTTTAATGAAAGACAAAGTTCGAATATGGTTGGGCAAAAACAGACGATAATATCCAAAAAAATTAAAAAGTAAAAATACGTTTGAAGTTAAGGCGATATCTACTTGCGTTAATTGTTATATATTTTTACGACAATTGAAAGTGTTTTCAGTCATGATAAAAGTAAAGGGAGTCATTAGCCATATAAAACAAAAACTTCATGATAATTGCCTGAAAGAATTTGCATGTAAACTACGAACGGACAGCTGGCCAATTAACGATCGTTCTTTCCTGTTGAGAGATTAATCTTAAAACTGCAATTTTCCTATTTACGTAAAACCACTCCAAATTCATCTTTTAAAAGGCCTGCGCAGTTTTTGATTCCCTGCACTGATACCGAATTTTATCTACCTGAAAATATCGATTTATTGCACTGATTACTTTAATGAGAACGCTTACTTGGTTAACTTTCCATCTATTCCAACTAGCTTATAGCGTTTGATAATTACAATGATTTTCTTTTTACTTCACATGGCTACCTGTTTTATTTAGCTCATCTTGGCCAATAGAAAAACTCGCGTCATTATAGGTAATTACCGCGCGGAATAGCAGTGTTTTTGTTATTTCACGGCCAGAAATCATTAGCGTTGAATAAGACTGATGAAATACCGGGAGACAATGGATTTGGAAATTATTTCTGGTTGAGGGTTGTCGTGGTTTGAGCTTACACAGAAACAAGACAAACATCTAGCCTCAACAAACATAAGAGAGAACTTATCCGATTATCAGGAAAATATGGGTAAGCTTGTTCTAGAATATCATGGCTGATTTTAAACGTAATACTAAATTGTCTCATACGTTTAGCGGAAATACAGGATTAGGAGCTCAATGTTTAATAACATGAACAACGTGTAAGATCGGACGTCGCTTTCATTTGAATTGTTACCATCGCTCATGGAAATCGAATAATCCCCTCGTAAATTTTGCTGAGCTTCGAAAAATTTCCATAAAACCTCAATTTTAAAACAAGCGCTTGCGACAGCCAGGCAACAAACGCAGCCGTCATTTCTGCGAAAATTACAAATATCTATATCTCTAACTCGACGCACGCTAATACGTGTTTATTTTATTTGCTACTTTCCCAGCCTCAGAAAGCACTGAGCTCGCAAAGGACCAACAGAGCAAACATCTTTGTAGTGGATGCAAACTGCCTATAACTGACCGTTTCTTGTTAGAAGCTTTGGGAATGTACTGGCACGAGGGGTGTTTAAAATGCAATTGCTGTGAATGCAAACTCGGTGATATTGGTTCGACGCTGTACAGTAAGGCAAACCTTATCCTCTGCAAGCGAGACTACTTGAGGTTAGTAATGAACGTACGAACATTATAGGAGAAATGATCGCTCGAAATATGACAGATCGGTAAGTCCCATTCCCCTACCCCACTATGATTATAATTGGCTAAATGGCATTAAATACACAAAAGAATTGGTTAAAAACATTTGACAAAGGACAAATGAGGAGGTGATTAGTTTGGGAATTAAAAGTGTAAAAATGATAACAAAGATGAATACGGATTACAACTCGTTCGTTAGCGATAGGCAATCAAGATATCAAGACTAATATTCATGTTAGTTTTGAGTTTTATACTTGCTCTCTGAGGTTGACATTTTCTTGCTTTGATCGTTTTGTTTTATTTTCTCTCTTAATTGTTAATTTACTGCGCGTAAAGGGTGTTCTTGGCCATACACAGTTAAATGAATCGTACATCAGTACACTCCAGATCCTTTCCTCTAGTATTTACACTGAGTACAAATTTATTTTCCCTTAAGCCAACGAGGAAATAGTCGTAACGTGCCTCAAAGGAACGACATTTCCTATGTTTAATACCATAGAAAAAATATTATGAGTTCGAGGTGATGCTTTTAAGCATCACCTCGATGAGGAGAATTATATGTACGGAATGAAATGTTTCACTTCGAATTACCACAGAAGATCATGTATCAGAGGACAGCACACTGCCTGTTATGTAAATTGACGTACTATCGTTTGATTCTTAAAGATGAAACGCGATTTTGCCCTCATACTGCTGAATGAAATCAATTTTTCAGTCTGCTTCTATTGTTAAAATTAACGGTATTTGCTTGCTTGACCCACTATTACCACCAGAGTGTATTTGTCTAGTATTGACAAAAGAGCAGTGTAATTATCGCCGGAGTCTTGGCCACATTTTTTTAGAATAATCTGAAAATATAGCTAAATTATGCGGCAGCGTAGCTTAAGAAAAAAAAAATGCAACATTTTCTGTCGTTCAACTCGAAATTGCTCTTGAAGTCGCCAAAAAATTCGACATATTCTCACAGCCAAGAATGCCTTTACAAATTCCGCTACAAAAAGGATTTAATGATTTTTGTTAAGATTTAGGATCACGTATAACCACAGTGGCATGTACAGCCAGTCGAGAACTCCAGTCGTCGCTTGATGAAAGTTCCAAGCAGGGAGCCGCCGAGAAACAAGGGTGTTAATTTTTACGTAAAAAAAACTATTAATAATTATTTTTTTCGCGGTATATCAAAGATTCTGATCCGATAGAGCGACGTCAAAATCATTAGTTCCACCAGAATTTGAAGCTGAAAATTTTAGAGATTTTCCTTTCCCCTTCATTTTTTAAATTACTATAAATTATTTTTTTACATTTTCTTCATCAATTAAGAGTTGAGGTCACTAAAAGATACTTAAAAGAACCGATGAATAATTAAGCATGACCTGCACTTCTTTAAGATAACAATTACAATTAAAAAAGGCCTTTTTATTAACTGAAATTGGATATGCCGGCTGGCTGAGAGTTGTTGAAATTTCTCCTTATTAATTTCTCGTCTTCAAAACCTCAAATCCATTATCCAGGTTAAAATGAGAGGGCGGACTGGTGTGGTTACCCCAACCGAGTCAGCCGAGTTTACCGGATTCGTGTTAATCGAAGTCAACTACGGCGTGCGGATTTTCAGAGGGTCCGTCTCAAAGGGTTAGGATTAGTTGTAAACTACCAAATATCTTATTCGTTGGGCTTAGATAAAAGAAAATGCTTGACACTAAAGGGAAAAAAGAGAACCGCAAAAAGTGTTTTCGAGCGCTAAGAGATTTTTCTTGACGGTGTAGAAATTTATAGTGCTTAGAGTGGAAACTGGATTTTCAACTTTTACGGACTTCTTTTTCTTTTTCCTCTTTTCAAGTCTGACTGTACTTACAGAAATAAATTACAGCGAAACTCAGAAAACCGTGACCACCATTAATATTTCTGGAATATTAGACCGCTACAAAGAAAAAGGCAACGAGGAAGTGAGAAAACTAAACCGCAAGCAACAAAATTGTCTGTTTGGTTTTGTAGCCTGCTGGCTTGAGAAGCGCTTTGTCTTAATTGATTGGTAATAACACATTAATTGTTATTCCTGAAATATTTCAGGTTTTTCCAATAAGTTTAACGGTAACTGTAAATGCCGCCACTCCATTGAAACCCTCATAGCAGTGTCAACAAGATGAATTGGCCACCCTAATGTCAGCTTTGAATACCTTAATGGTGGTCAATTGATTGAACCTCCCACCTCAGTTAACGATAACTATTTTTCGCGTTTCAATCCCCCACCGACTTAGTGCCGTAATTTTGTTTCTTTAGAGGCAAACCTTTTTGGTAAAATCAGAGATTTCACCATCATTACATTCAACATCATCATCATCATCATCATTGTGTCTCTGCTTGCTAAAAGGCGCATAAGGCTGTAAATCAAAGCCTTACGTAAATCACTTGCTTTCTAACGATCTTCATTTTAAATTCAGTGCTAATTGTAATCAATTTTCTTTTCTCGATTGGTAGATTGTTTGGAATTCCTGGTGTTTGCTCGGCGTGTAACAAACAAATAGCCGCGTTTGAGTTTGTTATGAGAGCAGGGAAGAACGCCTACCACATCGAATGCTTTTCGTGTCAGATCTGCAGACAAAGATTTAGAGTGGGCGAGAACTTTCATTTTTATAACAACAAAGTGCTTTGTTGGGATCACTACAGAACGGAGAAAGAAGGGGATAAAACTAAAGATGAGTTCACCGACGTAGGACCGAATTAGTAGTGGTGGGAACCATTTCAGTCTGTCATCTGTTGAACTTCGAATTGCTGTTTTTTTCCTACGACCTATTATTAAAGCAGTAGTCAGGATTAGCGAATTACATTGTATATTTTTAAGAATAAAAATAGCACATTTTTACTGGCCCATCAGATCGAGCAGAGACGTCGGCTTTTTAGTTCGCAGAGAGCCATTCCAAATTGGCGGAAGTTTTGCAAGAAAAACATACAAAAACATCAGAGCAAAACGTTTCATCCCTTATGTAGACGTTTTCCTCAATGCATAAAACGTGTCTTAAAAATGGCAAAAAAAAAAATCATTTGCACGTATCAGTAAGAAAATAGGGGGCTGAAGAATAGGTGGTACGACAAAATTGTAACGAAAAATGCATTGTGTCCCCGGAGAGAATTCTCCATTGATATTTCTTTAAAGAAATGCTATTGGCTTTATGGGTCAGTTAAAAATAAATCATATTCTGGATGCCAAAACTCCGCTACAAAGAGAAGCTTATCGAATGACGTAGGAATTTATATTCAAGGCACGTAAATCACATTTTATTTTATATATGATAAAATTTGTTATAGAGATATCTGGATGCGTCGAATGAAATTATATACTATTAGAAAACGGTCATGGTTAAAACATACCTAAACCGTTAGAACGCGCAGAAATGTTTGTAGGCAGGAGAGGATAATCATTATAGAACCGCTCTCCATTATCCCTTCTTGTTGTAATTTTATAATAGTAAACTTGGAATTGTAGATTTAAAGAAGAAAGAATAGATTTTGACCGCATGAAAGACTTTTTTTCGCACTGATCTATCAACATTGTAAAAAAAGACACCTACAAGTCATGAAATATGGCGAAATAATTCTTACACCGTAACAAGAGATGTAATTGCTGCAGTTTAACTATTGCCAAGAAGTAATTTGTAATAAATAAAATCAATTGAGATATCGTGTAATATAAGCTAGTAATAACGATTCTATTCTTAGACTGACTCATTGGACTCGCAAACACTTGTTCCTCGGTCATCTCTAGTTCAGCTGCAAGGTTAGGTCTCCAAAAAGACAAACTGGCTTCCTCTTGCCAGTTGAGTTTTTATTCCTGTTATGTCTATGTTGTGGTTCAATTTTATCCTTGGTTTAAATTTTCTTTTCTTTTGTTTTAAACTCATTATTATACATTAACATACCTAAAAACAAAAGAAAATAAAATTTAAACCAAGGATAAAATTGAACCACAACGTCTATAATCATGTGATGAACTAGCTAGAGCAGTCAAGCTTAAGTGTATAATCAAACTCACCAAGTTGAACTGTGAGTGGAGATGTCTTCGGGACAGATTTGCCGCAAAATGCGTTTTGGCTTAAAGTAATAAGTCTTCACAAAGAGAGGTGTCTCTGTAACATTACACTTGGTATCTTTCAATCCTATCATTAAATAGGCCATTGCCCCAAGCCTCTGTTTCAAAGCGAGGCTAAGTGCGAAACCGTTGAGTCAGACATGAACATGACTTTAAATTCTCATGCACATATGACTCACTTTCACAAGAAAGGTTTTCACTTAGCCTAGTTTTCAAAGTGAGAGTTTTTGGAACACGGAAGTGGCATATTGTGTTTATTTTCAACTTACTTGGTATTTTTTACTTACGTACGCATTGTCGCTGGGCGTTGAATTCTTGTCCGGGGGGACATTGTCTGATAGGAGCACACCTGTATGAACCATCAGTGTTCTCACATCTTGTTCCTCGGCGGCAAGAATGTTGGCCGTTGGAGCATTCGTCCACATCTAGCGATTCCAATTACATAAACCAAGATGGGAATCAGGATTGTACGCAAGGGCCGGGTTGTTCAAAGCTGGGTTAAGATAACTCAGGGTTATTTTGGAATTTGAATTCAGATATGAAAGTTTTAATAGCAAGTTCAGTTTAATTCCCTTGGCTTGTAATTTGTTGAGAAGATCCTCTACATTATACATGGAATAAGAAAATTATCGGAGAAAAATACTTTTTAACAAAAGAACAAGTGTTTGTTTGTTTGTTTGTTTTTTTTTTCGTTTCAAAACACAGGCTGGCAACTTTAAACTGGTTATCATACCATCGCATTTGTTATTATTAAGTATCCGTCCACTTTCACATTGACATCTATAGGAACCATCAGTATTCACGCAGGTTGAGTACGGCGGGCATTTTGCTTCTCGTGTCGCACATTCATCCTTGTCTAAAGAAATTAGAAAAACGACACACACACAATAAAATCATCACATAAAGTAAAAGATTACTTATTTTCTCTCGCGTGACAAAAAGGGTTTGAAATGAGTACATATTATATAAAATACACTCAACCACAATTTTAACCCACTCAAAAAGTCTCCTAGCCAACAAAAAAGTAAGCAAAAAAAATAATCTTAAGTATATGAATTAGAACAGGTAGAGCCATTATTGGGTTCTTCGTTAATGGGCAAACTGTTGTAGGGCTCTTGGTGGAGGATTGTCTTTTATGACCTCAAATGTACCCCACTGTGGATCTGCGAGTGGCTTTGTCACTAATGTGTGCGGCTAATGCGTTTCGGATATGCCACCCGAAATGAATTAAACGCGAGAAAGTCTACGAAACGCCCTAAAGGGACGAGTCGATCGCGCAACAAATGACTATCAAAATACTAGACACTGTAAGGTGATAAGGACTTAAGCATATTAATTTAAATGGGCACATCTTTTTTATGTTTTGACCAAACAGGCAGAAAAGAATATATTATAGTCATAATAGTAGAACCCCTAACCTATACAGGAGTCGCCTTGTTTTTCTTCTCCCTTCTTGCACGCCGCTTCTGTTTGATTGACACATCGATAACTTCCGGGTGAGTTAACACAAACTTCTAAAGGACCACAAACGCTTTCACCTCTGAGCCGACACTCATCTATGTCTGCATAGTGAAAAACATTCACTTTTTTTAGTTATTTATTCACCCATTCATTTCCTCATTTTTTTCCTTTCCCATTTTCCTA